AAGGTGAGATCCCATCTGGCCCTGCAGCTGCTGAACCTCGAACCTTCTTAAGATGTTTTATCACTGTTTACACAGACACAGGAACAAAGGCACTTGGTAATAAGGAAATGGCGTCTGTAGAAAGATGGGAGGCAGTGGGAATGTGGATGAAGTTTGCATTTAACCGATCTAAGTCTAAGTCAGCATCTACATGTGTTAGGGAATTGCGTTGACCAGTGAGACGCTTAAGACTCCAAATTTCATCCGAGAAGAGAGGAGAGGAACATGTAGAAGATGTAAAAAGCTGACTGACAAAAAAGGTCATTCAGCCTGGAAATTATCTACTTCCATGCCAATTCGTACCAGAAGCACGCCCGCAAAAATAAAGCCAGCTGACCCTAAGGATGAGACGGATCGTTTGCACACCAAACTAAATCAAAATGTCAGAAATAAAAAAATCTGAGGGTGGAATTCACGTTCATGCGACCTCTGGCAAATCGTCACGCTTCTACGGGTCGCGAAATTGAATCAATTTCGCAAAACACACTTAGAAATAAGCGACCTCAGCCTTTTCGAGACGTGCTGCCCCATAACCACTCGAGGAACTTCTGTTCAGAACTTCTGTTCATGATCAAGCCAATCCTCAAAAAATCAACACCCCTCTGTAACTGCAACACACGAACTAAACAACTTTAAAACCTGCTCCTCCAATCTACTAAAAGCGGTTTCCAAACTTTCTCTTCTCCGTCTTTTGCAGTCACGATTTACGATGATGTTATGGAAGGTCATCAAGTGTGCTGCCGATAAAGATAACTTCCAGGAAAATCTCTGTCCGGTCATCAAGTGTGCTGCCGATGAAGATAACTTCCAGGAAAATCTTTGTCGAATAAACGATTGGTCACGTAGATGGCTGCTGTCCTTCAATTCGAACAAATGCACTCTGCTGCGCTTGGGAAATCGAAATCCGATTCCTGATGCGAGACCCTACCATCTGAACGGAATCCAACTCAAAAAGCATGAATGCAGAAAGATCTCGGCATCTGGATGACAGACAACCTCAAACCTCCTACACAATGTTGTAAGGCAGCCAAAACTGCAACTTCAACGTACGCCATCAAGCGGGCATTCACGGTTTTTATTGAAGACTA